CTTTGACAGGGCGAACCTGTAGTCAGACTGAGAGTCGGTGCAACGCTAAAGAAACATGTTTCTTGAAGAGCTCCCCCACTACCAAAGCTCCAGCACGACGCACATCAGGGGACCAGCTCGCTTACGAGTTGTCGCTGATCAATTACCCTGTTGATATCAGGCCGCCAACCCTGTCTGTGCGCACCACTCACCATTTGGCTCTAGCCTGGTTGCTCGGCGAGCTGCGCGCAAAAGATACCACCTTTGAAGATCCATCTCGAACGCGATCCCCGCGGCGATGAAATCTGTTCTGGGCTCTCACAGCTTGCTATTGGTCCTCTAGTTTCCTGGGCACGACCTGAGAGTGGTGAACTTCGTCTCCCTCTCAAACCCATACCAGGCCAGTTTGGGCAAGCGTCAACCTCTCGTCAGCCCGAATCGTGAGGGATCTTCCCTCTCGATGGCGCAACGCGACCGCCATTCAGCTGGAAGCTGTCTCATTGACTAAATTCGGACCCAGTTGGCCGCTCGCTACTCGTCCTGAATACGCCTATTGTATGCTGTTTGCCAAAGCGAGCTTCGTCTTTGACGGCTACTCCGGTTGTGTTCCCTTGGGTCCCAGACATGTGCACGCGCGCGCTCGACTCACCATTGTCGACACATCGACGGTTGCCCCCATCACCACAGGTCTTCGTCTGGGCCCCACTAAAGAATCAAATGATGATATTCGCTCGTCAAAATGTTCAGGTTACAGCCGCCATCGGCCTCCAGCTGACGAATCGCCTTTCTGCCAAGATGGTGCGGCGAAAGTTCGAGGTCGCCCGAGACCAGACCCTCGACCCGTCCGGAGATTTTGCTGATCGTGTATACCAGGTCCCTACTCCCTTGGGTGCGTCTCCCTTCTCAAGGGGAGAACCCATTTAGCGCATCCTAGAAACCCAACTATTGCCTGCAGCCGCCGGGCCACGACACGTCCGGTAGCAAGTCACAATGGCCAGCCCTGAATCAATGCCGACAGTTTACGCAACGCCTGACTGAGGTTTCCAAGGCATACAGTCTTGGTCTGAACCGAGCGTGGGGCCCGAATAAGCGGCCCTGCTCGATCCCTCACCCAACCCTCAGATCCCCCAACCTAGGTCCGCGCTTTTCATCGACGTCATCCGGAGCATCAGCATAGACAGATCGTCACCGACTCCATCAACCTCCTGCACCGCGTGTCCCATATCGAGATCCTGCTCTGCGTGCCCAGTTTCTGCCATGCCACTTTGCCCTTTCAACCGAACCATCTGCATGGTCCCAAAACACAAAGGGTGACGGCGTAGCATCGATTTTTCATGCGCAGACACGACAAACCGGTTTCCCATCCAGGCCGCGGTTGTTGCTTTGCTTTTTTTTTCGCTCTCGCTTCTGTCTCTTTGTTTACTTCGCACTAGCTCGTCCGTATCATGGGTGGCCAGCTCAGCCCTTTGAGCTTCTTAGAGGTCAATGGGAGGCGCTGCCAACGCATGAGATGCGGGCCATTGCCTCCCCTCCTGTTCTTTGCATCCCATCGACATCTACTGTGCACCTGCTTCGCGATGACTGGACGCTGCATCGGACTACTGGGCGGTAAGACATCTGGCCAATAGACGCACCCAATCGCCTCGTCCGCTGTGCAGAGCTAGCCTGTCGTGCTTGGACACTTGAGTTTGACCAAGCTGCAAGCTTCTGCTACAGTCGGGATGAAAGGGGCCGCAGCCGTGCTCGAGAATTGCCATCCAGAGCAGCGGGTTTCCCCCCATCAGAATGCGGAATGTGGAACATGGCCTCACCTTTCCAAGTCTTCCACGCTGTTCTCTGAATTCCGGGTGGCTGATGGGTCCCCCCTCCCGAGGTTTGAGGGAAAGCATATTTGCAACAGGATAAAGCAAACTTGTCTGCCGAATCCTAGAACCTAGGTGCATCCAAACATGTCGCAGCAATGCGTTCTTCACCGAACCCCGGCTCAATGGTCATGTGCAATCCTTTGGTAAGCTTGCTGCGGTGCGATGGTGTGACGGGGGCTGACCTCGAGGAGGGGCTGATTATGAGGGGATCACAGAGCAGAGTGCGGAGTAAACAAAGAAAAGTGACGCGATCCATGTAAACAATCACAGCTACGCGCCGCGACCCCTGCACACCCGCGAGGTCACGTGTGCGATCCATTTAACCCGCTGGAGTCCTTCGACAACGGCTTCCCGAATTCTTGGGAATTGGCGAACTATTACACCACTTTCACACCCGCCACAAGGCGGAGGAGGTTGGCGGCCTTGGTACAAAGATGCCAGTGTTCAACACCCGCCATTGCCAAAACCTCAGTTCGGCGGTAATCTCCGTTCGTGATGCTACTACCATGGAGACTGGCATGCGCGATCACGGCCCAGATCGAAGATGGCTGGGCGAGTTGTCCAAAGTCTTCGCAATGTCAAGGCACATCAAGGCTAACTCCTTAAATGAGCAATGCTGCGAGATGGCTCGAGCCAATTTTGTTGCAGGGAATGGGTGTCTGCAAGGCATAACCCTGGTGCCTACAGACAGCTCAGAACATTCCAAGGTTGGCGTAGCGGGACCTGTCCGTGGACTGAAGAGTTGGGTGCCGACGCCGGACAGAAGTCTCAACTCTGAGCACGTCAGCTGTACTAGCCCTCAACTTCATCCACGAAAGAACCGGTGCCAGGCATGTCCCAAGTGCTCAGAAGCGTGGCTTGACCGAGCTATACCCATGGTTTCCGGAATACAAGCCGGCGCATGTTGTGTATTCGGCATATGACCTAGGAAACAAGAGACTGGCCAGCGGGAACTTACGCCAAGATTGTGGTCCGAACCGCACAGTCTTTTCACGCTTGACTCCGATGCAGTGCATCCTCAAGCCATGAGATTTAAGCAGGCTGCGCCTTGTAGACGAACAATTGATCACGAATAGGACGCCACTATCAGCCTGATTCACTCTATGGCTCTTACACCCGGGGTCTTCGGCCCGAGCATAGGAACGTGGTACCACAGCTTGATGATATCCTTTGCAGCAAGGTGTCGCGACGTCATTGTAATCACACGATCCTCGTCCCCAAGACCTGACGGCGTCTTCCCGCATTCCAACACTGAAGCTCTGCCCCTGCCTCACCCTATGAAGCAGCCGTACGATCTGAATCATGGGCGTCCCATGTTATGTACTTGGTGCCTGCCAAGCTTTCTGGGCCCTGAACACGGGACCCTTCTCGGGAATGTGGTTTGAGGGGTGTATATGCCGTAAGCGAACCGCGACGCATTCCAGCGCGCGATATCCGTAGATGTCGGCTCCATTCATCTGGGTCCCCAGCCTGCCGTAGCCACATGGCGTCTGTGTCTCAGCGCTTTGGCGGTAGAAGCGGGTGTGCCTGGCGCTTGTCGGGTTCTCTGGAGGCGAGATCGCATCGCCACGGCGCTTTCCTCCCCTACGGAATTCTACGTAAATGACACCGTAACATCCCGGCAGCTCTTTGAGTGGCGAGCTTAATCTTTGCAAGGAACGTTCGTCACGCGGGCACAGTCGGCCATTAACACTGGCGTAACTGGCCACCGTAACGTCTCCTTTTCAAGGCCTGTGCCACAACCGCTGTGGTGGCATTCCGCGCCAGATTATCCGGCGTCTCTTTCCCCTTTCCTCTATATCCCGTAGTTCACTTTTTTGCGCCTCAAGCGCGAATGCCACCGGGCTGCGCTACCTGTCGAGACCCTGAGATGATTACGTGGCGCCACCCGCGTGCCAGAGTCGGGGTTGACAGCAGGCTTGCCAGCTCCAGGGGCTCCAGGGGGCTCCATCGTGGTCGACTACGGGGGCGTCCAATCTCACTTCCAAAAGGGAACCGTTTCCAACCCTGTGAAAGTCAGGACGCCGTGCTGTGGGGGCTTGTTCGTCGGTACAACCCCTGAGATTTTCATGTTGACATCGACGGTTGGAAAATGAGCCGAGATGAATGGTTTGAGCTCGAGCTCGGGGTTCATTTTGTTCAGAGACCAGATCATCGTTATGACGATAACAACGATTACGGCATTGCGCGCGGCAAGGGACTCTGCGTCTCTTTGTTGATGCAGAAACAAACTTGGCCACAATCTTCGGGAGATACCGAGCTCGTCACCGAGATGACTTGTGTGGTAATGGGATGGGGGTGTGAGCGGCTTTGCTTGTGAGCCGTCGAAAGAGACGCCAGCACGAGGTCCATTGGCTGCGAGCATGATCGACGCGATAGCGTGATGTTTCGGTGTGGCACGACGGGTGGTCTCTGGCTACCTGGTGGTGTCGTCGTTGTTGACAGGCGAACACACGTCTCACGTCTACTGGATGGTGTAGGTGAATCATACAGCAGCAGAAAGCTGCCACGTTGATTCATGTGCGCAACTCAAGTTTGGTGACACTGGTGGTTCTTGTTTTGCGCGAGATATGGTCGATGCGTGGTCGTAGTGGTTTGATGCCGACTGCTGGTATGTACCGGCTCTGGGCTTGGTGATGGGAGGAGAGAAGCAGCATTCGTATTCTTCGGGGTATTAAGAACATGGCTTTGTTTGTCCAGTCTTGATAGAGACCAGACGTATTTGGGGTTGTAAAACTTGTGTTGCAGCTGCTTCGTTGTCTTGATAATTTATCCAATATTCTTTTGTCCGTCAACATCTTGTGTGGGAAAGCTTACTTGATCCGAACTTGTATTCTTTGACCAGAGCATGATCACATTATAGTTTTGACTTTTCCTGTCTGAATATTGATGCAGTATTATGTTTGATACACTACCTTAAATGACAAACCATGTAGTATACAACGGCAATTATCGTTTCAGATCTTGTCATTATGACTGACCGTTATCCACTTTTATAGGAGAATTAATTATAATGAGGCTACAGATGAAAACACCGTTTATGAGGTCCGAAGGTCAAAAAATTAGAAAGTCTTATGATCAACACCAGAATCAGTGTTTGATCACTAAATCACAAGACCTCCATGTTTTTTTGTTTCTTGAAAGGTTTGATTGATATTACGCAGTATTACTTGTCGTCGTCTCGCCAAAGTAGTCAAACGTGCGCGTGGCCGTCTCGCGGGTAGCGTTGATGAGCCGGAAGAGGTAGCGCGTCTTTTCGGCGAGCTTGGTAATGGGAAATCACGAGCAGCACCTATGTGTTGGGTTGGCGGAGAAGGCGCTGAGAGAGATGATGATCCTCCTAGTGACGAATGGTGCTTTCCTGCATAGCCAGGGAGACATCAAAGAGTTTGCGGTCAGGAGGGACGTCGGGCCGCCTCCAGGGTACTGGAGCCGGGTTGACGTGAAGACTACCGTCACACTGGCTGAGCTGCCGTCCACGGCGAAGATGCCAGCAGTCTCGTACGCGTCAGGGTAGACGAGACCGGGCGAGTAGCTATAGTACCCAGAGGCCTGTTCGAGGTAGTCTGCCGTCGAGGGATAGATGGCGTCGACCTCCTCGCCGTTGGACACATAGTCAGGATACCACGTGTCGACCTCGCAAGAGCCTAGTACTACACGACTGAAACGCCAGAGATCCTCGGATCGGCGACGCCGCTGACTCTGGTACTGACTAGAAGAGACGAACATGCTCAGGGCTGGCGTTGCGGGAAACGAATCCACCGGCCGGGCTGGTTGTTGGCATGCTGGACCAACACGCTTGTGTGTCCCCAGATCTCTCAAAGCATAATTTTCATGGCAAGATCCGTGTTCATGTTGGGGAAAGCAAATAGTTGCTTGAATATGGTACTTGCAGTGAGGAACAATCATTCGTTCAGTCAGCTGAGTAGTTCTTCCAGCCAGAATCTCTCTCATGACGAAAAGTACTCCGTATATCTTGGGGCGCATGCCCCCAACATGACCAAGGTTGTGAGCCACGCTTGGAAGCCAAGCCTGTAGAAGAGCCAACTACACAGGTTTGCAACATGGAAAGTTGTCATGATCGACGATACACTTGATGGTGGTCGTGATGTTGACCGAAACGACACCCCACCTTAGGCGCGGCTAACAGTGGGGGGAAATCGCGGGGCGGCCGCTCCAATGTTTGAGGCGGTCACAACCGGCAGAACTTTTCTCGCTGACATTTTTTTGGTGATGCGCTTCACAAGTTGCCCAAGTCGCCGCTATTCAATTGATCCCGATCACCAGATCCTGGCCAATCGAGACTTCTTCCGACGAAATTATGACGAAGACAGCTTCGGCGAAACGCAAGCGCGCCGAGCGCGAGGCTCTCAAGGAGTCGGAGCGAGCCACGAAGCGCACCAAGAGCGGCGACCCTGAAGACCTCTACGACAAGAAGCTTTTCGTCGAAAAGTCCGCCGGCGCCGACCGCGTGCGCGAGGCCAGGCTCTACGAGCTCCTGGGAAGCGAAGACTCTGACGAGCGAGTGGCCGCTGCCGAGACTGTCATCGCCAGCCTGCTCGACGGTGATGGAGTCCCCGAGGACGTCCTCAAGCGCCACCTCGACTGGCGCCTCTTCCGCGGCCTCGCGAGCGGTCGCGCCGGCGCCCGTCTCGGCTACAGCCTCGTCATCACCGAAATTCTGCGCCAGCTCTTTGGTGGCGACGCATTGGGCGCCTCCCGATACCCCGGCCTGACCTTCGACAAGGTCCTGGACATTCTCCACGAGCGGACCAAGCCGACGGGACACATGACGGGACAGGAAGAGAGGGACTTTTACTTTGGCAAGCTGTTCGGGCTCGACTGCTTCGTGCGCGCGGGCTTCATGGACGACGACCTCGACAAGTGGGATAACATTCTGCAGCAGCTGCTGGACCTTGCCGACAAGAAGGTCTGGCTGCGGTCGCACTGCGGCTGGGTCGTCATGCAGGCGGTGCCCAAGCTCAAGGCTGATGTTGTCGCCTCCATCATCCAGAAGCTCAAGGCCGCCAAGTGGACCAAGACCCCCGAAGGTGTGGGCATCTGGCTGGCGGCGCTCGAGACGCACCCCGAGCTCGACGGCCAGGGCGTCGAGAACCCACTGGATCCCAAGGTCCTGCCCAACCTGCCGGCCATTCTCAAAGACAGCGTGTCGGGCGAGGAAGCCGAGGAGGAGAGCGCTGCGAAGACGAAGAAGAAGACGGCCAACTGGTCGCACCAGCTGCACTTTGTCTGGCCCTACCTGCTCGGCTACTACGTCAGCAAAGGCGCCGTCACCGACTTTGTCGCCTTTTGGAGGCGTGCTGTCGATGGTGAGTCCTGCCGACGCTAAGGACCGTAGATTGGGAGACCGGGCTGACGATCGACAGACAACCTGTTCATCAAGAGCGCATCCGATGGCCAGAAGCTGCGTGGCTTCGTCGTCCTGCAGACGCTGTTGATGCACCCCCTCGAGGGCAACGAATCGACCCTCGAAAGTTTCCTCCCCCACATTTTCAGCAAGAACCTCATGACCTGCCTCATGAACCAGGCCGCGAGCGAGGGTCGCTACCTCCACCGCGCCGCCTGCGCCACCCTGCGCACCGTCGCCCAGGCGGCCCAGCGATCCCCCGAGTTCACGAGCATCATAATCGAAAACTTGACCACCAACAACGGCGTTTACAACTTTGATGTCAGGACGGGCGCCAAGACGATCGAGACGGTCCTCCAGCGCATCAAGCCGGAGGCGGCGGATGATGTCGTTGGCGTGCTGAGCGCTCCCGTCATCAAGTCGTGCACCACCGGAAAGGACATGGACAAGGTCAAGGTCGAGCTGCGCGCCTACGTCGAGTATCTCTTCAAGATGGCCACGGCTGCGCCCGAGGCGGCTCTCCAGGAGCTCACCTCCCTGGCGTACGCGCCGCCGATCTGGGTCCCTGAAAATGCGTCCGAGTTCGTCAAGGATCTGAGCCGGAACCGCCTCCAGTCGGCGTTTGCGAACCTGTCCAAGAAGGCCGAGGACACGACGTATCTCTGCACCGCCATTGAGGCCATCAGCCCCGACTACATCCAGATGGACGCCAAGCTGAAGAAGGCCGTCGCTGACGCGCGTAAGAAGCTCAAGGCCCTGCTGCAAACCGCCTCGGCCAAGCCCGCCGCCGACGGTGCCTCGGACGAGATGAACGTGGCCAAGGGCCTCTCGCTCCTCTACGCGATCGCCATCTTCCAGCTCTACAACGCCGAGCCTGACGCGTTGCAACTTCTTGACGACCTCCGGGACTACCAGTCGCGGATGAAGACGGACGAGGACGAGGCGGCCGAGTTTCTCATCGAGATTCTCCTCTCCATGGTGTCGCAGGATTCCGTGCTGCTGCGGCAGATCTCGCAGCAGGTCTTTGGATGCTTTTCCAGCCGCGTGACGTCCAAGGCGCTGGAGCTCCTGCTCGATGTCTTGTCGGCGGATGAGAACGCCAAGGGCCAGCAGTCATTGTTCGACATTGAGAACGACGACGTTGACCTGGAAGATTTTGAGGAAGAAGACGACGAGGACGAGGATGATGAGGACGATGAAGATGATGACGTGGAAGAGATCAACGTGGACGACGACTCGGAACTGGAAATCGATTCTGACGTCGAGTTTGTCACCCTCAACGCCGCCGACGACACGAGCGAGGAGAAGGAGGGCGAAGACGGGTCCGATGCCGACTCGGAGGACGAGGCGGCCGAAGACGAAGACGCAGAGGAAGCCAAAAACCTCGAGGCCATCGACGACGCCCTCGGCAAGATTCTCAACAGCCACCGCCTCGACAAGGACGCCGACGCGTCCGACTCGGACGCCGACATGACCGATTCCGAAATGCTCGCCCTCGACGAGAAGCTGTCGGCCGTCTTCAAGGACCGCATCAAGACCAAGCCCAGCAAGAAGAAGGAGCGCAAGGCGGCCAAGGAGTCCGTCATCAACTTCAAGCGCCGCGTCCTCTCGCTGCTGGATATTTACATCCGCTCCGAGGCCGGCAGCCCCGTCGCCATCGCCGCTCTGCTGCCCCTCGTCCAGCTGATCCGCACGACGACGGTCAAGTCGCTGTCCGACCGCTCGCTGGAGCTCACAAAGGAGTACCAGAAGCAGCTCAAGAAGGCGCGGGCGGCGAACAAGAAGCAGAAGAAGACGGTCAAGGTGGACGCCGAAGCCACGCTGCAGCTGCTGAAAGATATTCATGCCGAGGCTGCGGCCAGCGAGATGAACGACCACGCCAAGGCCGCGGCTGCCGCGAGCCTGATTGTCGGATCGACGCTGTTCATCGCCGACAAGGCGAGCCGGCCAGCTGTCGAGGCCGAGTTTGCCAAGCTCGAGCGCAAGCCGGAGAAGAAGGGGCGCAAGTCGAACAAGAAGAAGAAGGCGGGTGATATCGACATGGCCATGGACTGGAAGAACTGGCGGCAGAACTATGAGGCGACAAAGAGGCAGTAGGTCTATCTGTCGTGCGTTGGGGAGTCTAGAGCGAGGGCCAACAGCCAACAACCGAATACCAAGATTTGATTGAGATTGACGTGCAAGGTGCTCACACTAGAAAGAAATGCTTGCCGTCATACCTCGACCTACATGATCATGCGTTCCTTCTGGTGTACCATCCTCCCGCATCAGTGCTATCTTTTGCCCGAACCCGTCTACAGCCGCAAAAGATGAGAACGACACCCGAACCTACTAGCAACTCGATACATAAACGAAAATACCTCGCCACCATCCAGTCTCCAGTCGGCATCGTGCTTACCATGCATTCCACTACAGGCCTCATTCCCGCGATCGAACACTTGCTTCGTCGCGGGAACGGCGGGGAGAACCAGCCTCTCTCTCGCCGCGGCCGCTTCCACGAACTCGGTGCGAAGCCTCCGGCCTAAAGTTATCTCCCGACCCCACTCCGAACTGCGACATGGGCTGGGGATCAAGTGACTCCTCATGCTCTAGACGGTAAGTAGTGCCCACAGGATGGCCCATCCTGGGCTCTGGAGTCACAACGCGGTACTCGGGACGATATGGAAGAAATCCCGGTGCGCTTGTTGGCTGGGATCGTTCTGCAGAGAGAAAGCGCGACTGGGGTCGAGCCGAGACGGACTCACCATGTTCATGAGCATATGTCGTGCCGGTGCCATTGCCATTGCCATTGCCAGGCACAGGCTGAGGAGTAGCACCGCGGTTTTCCGGTCGATAGGGACTGAAGTCCTCCCGAGTCGACGCCTGGGGCCGACTTCGAGCTGCAGACCCAGTGCGTGATGGGTTGACTGGCGCCGGCCGGCCCTCAGACCTATTGAGGGAGCTACCAAGCTGTACCCCCTGATGTTCAACCTGATTCGAGCGGCGGGACACCTGCGGTCTCGGTGGCGGACGAGCACCCGCCGCTGCCCCAACGCTTCCCCGTAGAGGGGGACATTCGTCAGTGTCGTCTTCGAACTCATACCTACCCCTGGGTCCTCGATGGAAAGATGTCATACTTGACTCGGCGCGAATATGAACAGGCGCTTGACGGCTTGAGTACGGATTGGGCAAGCTACGCGTGGCTGGAGGAGGGTCATTGACCGCCCTCTCAAGTGACGGGAAGCTCTCTGGAGCAACCGCGGGACGGCGGTCCCGCTGCTCGCGGCGTTCCTCACAACGAGCGTTTCCGATGCGGGCCTTCAGCTCGTGCTCGAGACGGTCGATTTCTGCACTTGTCAGTCTAACAGGAGGAGGGGCGACAACTCTGTTGTTGACGATGAGATAGCCAGAGTTGACATCCATCCTGATCTGACTGGGCTCCAGGCCCAAGTGGTCAAAAATCCAGTTCATCCAGATATCAAAACTCCGCTCGGCCCTGCGATCAAAATGCACAAGGCGCGCGACAGTGGGATGGATTAAACCTCTAGTGCCACGCAGGTCTGACTGCAAAAACATCCGGAATCGGGAGAGTGCCCGCTCAAGACTGTTGGAGTCCATGCTCTCCAGCCCCTGAATGCCCGTTGATACCTGGCTGTGACGCTGGTTGGCGTTGGCCATGGCCACACAGCCTGGGCAAGTTGTAAAGCGGGCACTCAGGCCTGCTCTTGCAAGGCGGATCCTTTCAATGCACTGACAAACTCTTGAGGAGCAGTAGCAGCTAGGCGCGGGCCGATGAAACGGGCAAAGCTGGGCGCCCGGCATTTGTGTAGCTTGTGTGGGTTGTGAAAACGCGTACGGGTGTGGTTGGTGTCAACTTCTTCTGAGGTGAAAATTCACTTTTGAGACGCTTGCCCGGACCTGCGGGATTGGGAATGTTCAATACACAGAAAAAGAGATATGGTAAGTCAGGTAGCATGCGATGATGTGAAGAAGCACGGTTGAGTCTTAGGCTGGTGTGGTTCCAGCGGAAAGTGGATGTTGGTGTGGCCAAGAGAGGGAAAGAGAGAGAGAGACTCGACCACACAATGACCGGAGCTTATAACCAGTAGAGATGCCTTTGAAGATGACTTGTATCGAACAATGTCTATGTTTGTGTGGTCGTAACGAAGACGGTCGAGTTTGAGCCCCGTGTTTTCACAGTGAGACTGGACTTGACCAGCTCTTTGTTCCATAGTAAGACTGCCATATTGCTTGAGATACCCGTGTTTTGAACAGCAAGTCTGTGAGCGAAATAAAACAGCAACACAGGGGAGTTGAGCAGAGGACCATGTCCATTCGTTAAGTTCACTAGTTGTGATTTCCGTTTCGTGGGAGGTCCGCTGCGTTCGTGTCTTCTCGAGCCATCATAATTGTTATTATGACTGAAGGATAAAGAAGCAAATCACCACAGTTTTTGGGGCTAGGAATTATAAGGATCAAGAGAGAGATGATTTCCTTTTATATAAGGAAGGAAGGAAGCGAACGGCGAAGACGAGACCTCGTCCATCTTGAGGCCAAAGAACATGCATCTATCGGGTACTGCCTCAATCGGGTATGACAATACCCGCATAACTCTATCTCGACACTCCCTTATACTCTACCTAGGCACCTTACCTTAAGGCAGTTAGGTACTCAGGTACCCAGCAGATGGACAGATCGGACCAGACCCCAAATAGGGCAAGCGGAGGAGATGGTGACCCCTGCCACTGTTGCGCTGGTGCAGTGCTCCTGCTGCCGCCAGGGTCCATGTCGCATCTGGATCAAGAAGTTACCTTTGCCCGTGCTCCCTTCTCCATTCTCCCCCCCCCCAAAGAGACCACCTGGCGTCCCACGTCGACGACAGACAACAACTTTTTTCTCCGCCTGAAGCCCATCGACGGGACTGGCTGCCCTTCCGTCTTGTGAGTCGAGTCGAAAACACCAATTGGCCAAGCTGACCCTGCGTTCATAGCACGGCATTTCTTCTCCCCCTCAGGAGGACACGCCCTCCCTTACGAGCAACATCCCTCACCTGGGAGCTGCTCCGCCAGAAAATGTTCGCCTCCCTTTACTGCATGAAAAGGCTTCGCTGACAATTTTCTCTTCGCCGCCGTTCAGTCTGCTTCGAACACAACTCTTGACGGACCCTCACGTACTACATCGCCACGATGAAGTTCATGACCCTGTTGTTCGGCCTCTTGGGCTTGGTGACTGTGGCTGCCGCCTGGAGCAAGGAAGGTTTGTACCGTGTCCTCCTCCTGTCTCCCCCCCACTCTCCTTGCCATTGACCCCTGAAGCTGATCTTGTTCCCCCTCTCTTCCTGCAGATCGTGAAATCTTCCGCATCCGTGACGAGCTGCGCGCTCACATGGAAGACCCCGACCAGAGCTTCTACGACCTTCTCGGCATCAAGCCCTCGGCCTCGATCGAAGACATTAGCAAGGCCTTCCGCAAGATTACGCGCTCCCTTCACCCCGACAAGGTCGCGCAGAAGCTCAAGGCTGAGCGCATCGCCGCCAAGAAGGCCGGCACCTTCATCCCCGGCGTCAACATCAACAAGCCGCCGAGCCAGAAGGAGATCCGCGCCGCCGTCAAGGTCGCCGAGGAGCGCCAGTCGCGCCTCAGTCTCGTCCGCAACATCCTCAGCGGGCCCGAGCGTGACCGCTACGACCACTTCCTCCGGAACGGCTTCCCCGCCTGGAAGGGCACAAACTACTACTACGACCGCTACCGCCCCGGTCTCGGCACCGCCCTGTTCGGCGTCTTCTTCTTCGCCGGCGGCGCCATCCACTACCTCGCCCTCTACATGAACCACCGCCGCCACAAGGACTTTATCGAGCGCTACATCAAGTTCGCCCGCGACCAGGCTTGGGGTGACAACCTCGACGTCCCCGGCATCGACTACGCCTCGCCCTCCCCTCCCCCTGCCGACGACGACGAGCAGCAGCAGGCCGCCCTCCCTGTCAACCGCCGCCAGCGCCGCTTCGAGGAGAAGGCCGCCCGCAAGGAAAAGGGCACCACAAAGGTCAAGCGCAGCGCTGGCAGCGGCACCGCCACGCCGCGCGAGACGCAGGGCGACCGCCCCGTCGGACCCCGCAAGCGCGTCATTGCCGAGAACGGCAAGGTCCTCGTCGTCGATCACAGCGGCAACGTGTACCTCGAGGAGCACGACGAGGAGGGCAACCTCGAGCAGTTCCTTCTCGACGTGAGTTCAGCCCCTATTCTCACAATTGCCCCCTTTTTCCAAATTGGGATCCAGAAAGAAAAAAAAAACTAACGAGAGATGATAGCCCACCGAGCTCAAAGAACCCACCTTCTTCGACACGGCCGTCGTTCGCCTCCCCGTCTGGGCCTTCAACAGCACCGTCGGACGCGCGCTCGGCAAGAAGCCCGCCGCCGAGGACCTCGACCTCGTCGACGTCGACTCGGACAATGACCCCGTCCACGACACGCCCGGCACCGACTCGGCCGCCGAGGACTTTGAGCTGCTCGACAAGTCGACCGACTCGCTCGGCAAGGCCAAGTCATCGGGCGCCCAGGCCGGCGCCAAGGTCAACAGGCGGAAGAAGAGCAAGCGGTGAGCGGACATGCCGGTTGCCGTCCTAGGCACCTACTTGCGGTTCATGGCGCGCATTGGGCCTTCCTTGGCCTGACGTCGGTAGTGAAGGAGTTTGACAGGTTGTCGATGATGCAGGTGAATACAAAAGAGAAAGAAAAAAGGAGTGAAGCAGAGGCAGAGACACCCGTGACGAGACAAACCTAGGATGCGGCCGGCAGCGCCGTCTGCAACATGATCTGGTCATTGGGGCCACGAAAAAGTCAAACACTGAAAGAAAATATACATGTGCAAAGCTCTCTGACAGTATTACTTTGCCTGCCTCGACGCTGTCTCAGCAAGTGAACTGTGACTAAAGTGCCTGGTCCTCTTTGCTATTGTCGCACCAGTTCCCCGTCTAACACGCCACTCACTCCCCAGCGCATTCCATGCCTCGGATGGGAGGGGTGCAACTGGAATGGCTGCCGTCGATCAAAGGGGACCCGCGGCGGGGGCGCCTCAGGCTGAGGACAAAGGGGAGGATAGCAATATACCATGTAGTGATGTACAGCAGGGCGCAGGGGAGGGGGGTGTTGGGTTCTTATTTCATACAATAGGGGAGATTCGTAGGTCGTCCGTCAGACCTGACCGTCTGCCGATGATCTGCTTTCGTTTTCGAGCACCGACTCTGTCCTCCCCAAAAAGAGTATTGCCATCTTTCAAGGAAAACCGTGGCAAGACCTCCCTGCTCGAGACAGTCTTAGTTAACGCACAGAGCTTGCTCGCCATGGCCGTTAACCCACCTCGGACCTGCTACGAGCTTGACTGATTCTGCCAGGCAGTTTTCAACTTCCACAAAGGGAATCTAGACACCCTCTACCATCTTCAACCATCATAGCCCAGGCTCTCAGCGCCACGGCAACACGGCAACGCGCAATTCATCTAGCAGCAAGTCAACACCACTGACGAGTGAAGCCAGCTGAGGGGAGGTGCTATTAAAAGTAAATGGAGTGATCCTGTTCTCCGTTCTGACTCTTCAAATCTCTGTGCTTGCCAACGCCCAAGTATGATTTTCATAGCCATTCTGACTGTCCTGGTTCGTCTGCGCCAATTCCAGACCATGCCATTCATAAGACAAAAGAAAAAAGACCACCATACCGGCGTGCGCCGGGCAAGTTCTGGACAGTGGTATACTATGTACATGCTCTCATCTCGTAGAGCTTCCTACCGCCGACCTCACATGACATCCATGGCCTCGACATTACCGACCGGCCCGCCAAACTGCTGCTGCTGGTACGAGCCGTACTGGTTCTCCATTTGCATCTGCAGCTGTTGCTCCTGCTGCAGCCGCGACCAGTCCTGGCCCGTGCTCTTGTAAACGGGATCGGTGGCCTGGCTGTAACCACCGACCGACGAGCCGTAGGGCGAGTAGACATCCTTGGGCTTCGAATCTTGACGCTCATTCTCTCGTCTCATGAGCTCCTCGTAGCCCGACATCATGTACGGCTCAACGTTCTGGCTGATGTTGGTGGCCAGCCAGCGGCCGTCAGAGCTCTGGGACTGGACCGCCGTGCCGTCGAGGCTCATGACAGCTGTCTGCCTCTCGGCCTCGATCATGCGTTCGTAGCGGAGTCGAGCCCAGAGCTCTTCCTGCTCGACCGTGGTGCTCGTCCAAGCGAGAGCGGGGTTGTCGTCGTTGCTAGTGGGCGGGGCAACGCGCCAGAGCTCGACCAGACGCTCCTGTTGGGGCGTCTCGGAGATGCGGAACAGTTGGATCTGAGAGGGAGATAGAACTGCAGGGTTGACACCGTGCTGGGCCAGCACAAACTCGGGGGTGAGCTGATCGGACTGAGGCGGCTCAGAAGAGCGCCGCTGTGGCTCTTGGACTTGCACCGGCTGTTGCTGAGGCTCGGCTGGTTCTTGGGGGATGTGATACGAATGTATGTAGTGCTGAGAGATAGAGTAAACGATGGGCTCAGGGGTCGACTTAGAGGCCTCGGTGGTGCGGTCCTGCGTAGCTTGCTGGGGCTCATCGACCATAGACTTGGGGACCATGGACTGGGCTTGAGCCTGAGCCTGAGCCTGAGCCTGAGCCTGAACATGAGACTGCAGCTCAGGGTTGAAGGTCAGGTTGCGGGAGAAGAGGGCTGACAAGTCGTCGTTGGCCTGCATGTTGGGCGGGAAAGAAACCATCTTCCTAAAGTTGTTAGAATATCTTCCGGGCTCGGTTGTCTCGACTGCAGGCATGCGTACTGTAAGCTGGAGGGCCGGTGTCCAATTCTTGGGTTCGGCGTGCCGTGACAGGCTATTCTCCCCGAGGTTCGACAGGCTATGAGAGTCTGCCGATCGTGATGTGATATGGCAAGCGACACGAGAGAGTGGGGCTAGTGTCGTGGTCGGAGATCGGCCAAGGAGCACAGAGCAGCAAACAAACTTGAGTTTATATTGGCTATGGTAGGTGTACTTGAGCTCGAGAGGGCCAGGGTGAGTGTCTCGAAGTGGGAGCGGTGTTCGGGAGCGTGTGGCGGAACGAGAAGGAAACGGGTGTGCAAAGCGTTCGATGGACGGACACAGCGAGAAGCGACTTTTATGAGAAAGCGAGTCGAACGAGAAGGAGAATAGCAACAAGTCCAGTTTCCTAGGAAAGAAGATTGGAGATGAGGGAAACAAAGAGGCTTTGGGCGCAAGTATATTTAGTTTGCCAGTCACAAGATCGGGTTGATGGTGGTCAGGTTGGGAGCGAAGAACGGGACCGGGGGTCAGACGAGGGGCACCCGGAGGTGGGGATGCCGTGGAGGGATGGGATGCAGTCTGCGTCGTGTCGTGTCGTGTTGGGGAACCGGGGGGGGGGGGGTCAGTGTCGTATCAATCGTCGCCAGAGTCGTCGCCAGTATTGTCGCAGCAAATGGGAGGATGGAGCAAGAAGAAGCAAGAAGGACGATGTTTGTTGGAGGGAGAGGGAAAAAGAAGAAGAGGGATTCTGTCAGACGGTCGGGGCTTAGATATATGGTGGTCTCGAGGCTCATCAATGTGACGGAACATGAGGCAACAGCGGGCCCCCTGTAGAGAGGAAATTGAGAAGGAGGGGCCGACTCATGACGCACCGAGCACCAGAGCACCATAGCACCAAAGCACTAGAAAGACCCAGGAATGGCGGCAAGAACGACGACGACATATCTACCTGAACCCACGCCAGGGCAAGACCATTGGGCCGGGGGGTGTGGTAGGCTGGTTCCTGCCGTTACGACCTAACGACACCATGGCTGCCACACCTTTGGCCGGGTTTGGTGGAGGAGGGGGTTTAGGGCGCCTGGATCGGTGAATCATGGGAATTGCTCTTGAAGAAGCATTCAGAGTGCGAGTGCAAGGCCACAGAAGGAGAAAGGGGGAAAAGGAGAAGACAGGACATTTGTGAGGTGAGAAGAAGCATGAATGGCCACCTCCCGGTCGGTTTCCCTGTCTCTTGGAAGATTCATGCGTCTGGTTCACAACGCAGCATTACGTCCAATCGACCCGTGACACGATGATCACGGGTCTCCATCTGTGGTCCACGGGCGGCGAGCGGCGGGCCACATCTGCGTATGAGGTAGGGAATGGAAAGGGACAGACACGAAAGGAGGAGGGGAACGGGAAGAGGGGTAGCAGGTGGACATGGATGATGGGATATGTTTCAGAAGCGTGAGGGTATTTCTCGTCATTTGGTCTAGAGCTGCACATCTGCGGTGGTGGTAGGTGACGGTCGGGCTCAACAGTTTAGCATCAGCGCCATCATTCTTCACCGCCGTTTTTCTCGCTCGGCACGGTAGTTGGCGTCTATCTGAGTGTCTAGAGAATATCCAGGTAAAGGCAGAGTGACTGCAAACCAAAGGAATGGCAACATCACTGCCATCTGAACGCAATCACGAGCAGCATGGAATCATGGATCGTGTATCAGACAGTCGACCTCTAGCCTAGCCCCCCTTCCCACGAGGCAGGCACACAATTCGAGATGCAGGCCCGGCCGGGTGGAGAGTGGAGACCGAGGCACACCGACTCGGCTGTCAGACGAACTACGATCGATGACTCTCTGTGCAATGTGCAAGGGAAAGAAGGCGGGCAGCCTACGGAGGAGCAGTGCTGCCAAGATCTTGAATATTAGATAATCACTATTGAACCCAGGATAGCACGGCTGGGCATCAAAGCCAGCGGGCACCACCCGTCACCCACTGGCCAGCCAGCAAGCCAGCCTCGCGGTTCTGGGTGGAGCAACACGCATCCCCCAGGCTGCCTGCTGAGCTGAGCTGTGACGGGGATGGCCTACGACTGCACTCCAAAGGAAACGAAGCTCTCCAAAGCTCCCCCCATCACGACCAAAGACTCAGCCAATCCACCTCACCACGACGAGCCCTTCTTCATCGACCTCGACGAGCGACTCGACACTTCGAATTCGCATCCTCCTCATCTCTAGCAGAACAACCCTCATACATCAGCCAAGATGGTACGTCCCGTTCTCCTGCCTCGTTCTCTCCACCACACAGCATCATATCTATCCATCATGAACCCTCGCCATGAGGATTGGGCCCCACGCCGTCCCGGCGACGACAATGACAACAACATGTGTATGCTGACGCCTCAACCCTCTCTCTCTCTCTAGACCTCCATAGGCACAGGCTACGATCTCTCCAACTCCATCTTCTCCCCCGACGGCCGCAACTTCCAGGTCGAGTACGCCGTCAAGGCGGTCGAGAACGGCGGCACCTCGCTCGGCATCCGGGCCAACGGCGGCGTCGTACTCGCCGTCGAAAAGGTCGTCACGTCGAAGCTCTGGAAGCCCAATGCCAACACGCGCATTGCCACCGTCGACCGCCACCTCGGCGTCGTCTACTCGGGCATGGTCCCCGACGGCCGCCACTTTGCCGACCGCGCCCGCGACGAGGCCCGCTCCTGGCGCGACACGTTCAAGACGCCCATCCCCGTCGCCGACCTCGCCAGCCGCATGGGCGGCTATCTGCAGGCCTACACCCTCTACTCCTCCGTGCGGCCCTTTGGCATCACCGCCATTGTCGCCGGCTTTGACCCTTCGACCCCGCTGCCCGTCGACGGCGAGGTCGGTTCCGGCCCCGCCGCCGGCCCCGGCGGTGTCAAGCCCAACCAGAAGCACGGCGGCCCTGGTCTCTACATGATTGAGCCCTCGGGCCTCTACTGGGGCTACTACGGCGCCGCCACCGGCAAGGGCCGTCAGGCCGCCAAGGCCGAGCTCGAGAAGCTCGACCTCGCCGGCGATGGCATCTCCCTTGAGCAGGCCGTCAAGGAGGCCGCCCGCATCATCTACGTCGCCCACGACGACAACAAGGACAAGGAGTTTGAGCTCGAGATGAGCTGGATCAGCGACGTCGACGGCCCCACCAAGGGACGCCACGAGGCCGTCCCCAAGACCCTGCTCGAGGAGGCCGAGCGGTTAGCGAAGAAGGCCCTCGAGGGCGACGACGACGACGAGGATGACAAGAAGGACGACGACAAGATGGAAGAGTAGACCCCGTCATGTTGCGCGTGTCAGAGGGAGGGAAACGGCCTGTGTGTGTACGATTACCAAGGACAAGGGCAAAGCGGCGTCGGATCATGAGGATCATAGACTACGACTAGCTAAATTAAGCTGGAGTTGAGACATTTTTCTCTCGTTTCAGACTGTCTGTGGATTTGTCCCTCAAACAGTCTACCACTGGTGTTGGAAGGAGGGCTCGTTCGATAACATGCAGTCTCCTGGCTGCAAACAGGGTGCTTTAGAGAGCATGCCTCCATCTAGTTTGGTCTTCTACGGGCCTGCAATGATGAAACCCCAATATCAGCATGGCCCTTTTTTTGGACGTCTGGGAGGCTGTTGGGATGCTGATGGTGCGCGTGTGCAGTCAGGTATAAATCGATTGCATACAAAACACAGCCGGACCACCATGTCAGTACAAAGTACAATACATCGACATGATGAACGAGTCATCTGCCACACCAGTCAGGAAAATACCAGGCACAACACCATACATGATGACATGAATACACAGAGCACCGAAACAGCGTCGTAAAGGTTGAATAGCGTTTTTTAGGTATTCAGTAGTACTACGCAGCCACCCAGACTGCGCACCGGGACATTGAAATCTCGTTAAACCGTCCTCCCCCGTGTCCGCGCACAAACCACGCTGAAAATCAATTTGAAACCTTGCCCTCCATCATAGTCCAAGAAACTCCAGTCTACGCCTTGACAATCTTGCAAACCAGGTCGGAACCATCGACAGAGTCGCCCTCCTTGACCTGCAGGCTGGAAACCTGGCCGTTGTGCGGCGCCGAAATGACCATTTCCTTAAAATGATTGTTAGCATTTGGTTCGGTCTGTTGCTTAGAGAGTAGAGACTTACCATCTTCATGGCGCTAAGCACAGCAATAGGGTCACCCTTCTTGACATCCGAGCCCTCCTTGACACGCAGCTCGACTAGCACACCAGCCATGGGCGCGCCAACCTGGCTTGAGTCGCTGAGGTCGGCCTTGGGGCGCGTGACGTTCTCAACCGAGGCCTTGTTGTCGTCGACAGTGACCTGGCGGACCTCACCGTTCATCTCGTAGAACACCTCACGCTGGCCAGTGTTCTCGCTGAGGGGCCCAACTGCGAGCAGCTTGAGGATGAGGACCTTGCCCTTCTCCAGCTCGACGTGGAATTCCTCGCCAATCTCTGGCTTCGACAGGAAGTACTTGGTAGGCAGAACGGACAGGTCTCCGAACCTCTGGACAAACTTCTTGTAGTCTTCGAAGACCTTGGGGTACATGACGTAGGACGCAATGTCCGTCTCCGTGACGGGACCGCCAAACTTCTTACCCAGCTCGCGCTTGACCTTGACAAAGTCCACAGGCTCCAGGGACAGACCAGGACGAGCGTCAAGCTTTCGGCGACCACGCAGAGCATCGGAGCGGAGCGGCTCGGGGAAACCGCCGAACGGCTGACCCATCATGCCTTCGAGGAACTCAAGCACGGAGCCAGGGAAATCGAGCTCGCCGGCGCGAGCCTTGACATCCTCGGGAGAGAGTTTGTTCGAGACCATGAACTGCGCAAGATCACCGACAACCTTGGAGGTGGGCGTCACCTTGACAATGTCGCCGAGAAGGTCGTTGGCGTGCTCGTAGGCCTTCTTGGTCTCGGCCCACTGAGTGCCGAGGCCAAGCTGCTGGGCCTGGAACATCATGTTGGTGAGTTGACCGCCGGGGATCTCGTGCTCGTACACCTCGGGATCGGGGCCAGCAAGGTGGGCCTCGAAGGGGGAGTACAGGAGACGAAGCTGAGACCAGTAGGTGTCAAGGGCGCGAACGTGGGCAGGGTTCAGGCCAGGGTCGAGGTCACTGCCCTCAAGGGAGGCGAGGATGGCATTGATGCTGGGCTGCGAGGTCATGCCTGACAGACTGTCGGTGGCGGCATCAACAGCATCGGCGCCAGCCTTGGCGCAAGCGACCATCGAAGCGACACCGGTACCGGCCGAGTCGTGGGTGTGGACGTGGATGGGAAGGTCAGGGTATTTCTCGCGGATGGCACCGATGAGCAGAGTAGCCGCATGGGGCTTGAGAACTCCAGCCATGTCCTTGATGCCGAGGACATGAATGTCAAGGGCAACGAGCTTGTCAACAAGATCAAGGTAGTACTGCAGGTTGTACTTCTTGTTGGGGTTCTAGATGAAGCGTGAGTTAGCACCGAACCAGTAGGGTGAATAAAGTGACCCGCGACAAGAGGATAGCGGAACAGTAGTTTGAAAAAGTCAAGAGACCGAAGATCAAAGTCAAGCTAGCCGCTCGACTCCGCCACCTTACTGAGGTGCTTCTTCGTTGCCAGGTGAGCGTTCAGCATCTGGTGCGTTTTGCTGGTCTAGTCGCATATGCTGCAGTGATACAGGCGTCCAGCGAGGTTTTCATCGTGTCGCTCCTTGCCGCGTGTTCTGATGACCCCGACGAGGGTTTCGCAGTTTCCTTTAAGCAGCTTGGAGCAGAGAAATCGAAGAAAAGCTTGAGGCGATGGGCAATGCGGCAAAACAAGAAAAGACAGACAATCCGGGGTGTTGAACGTGAGTCGTGAGATAGCTTGAGTGGTGATGGAGATGAGGGGGAGAGGTGAGAGGGAGGAAATGTTATGGGAGTCAGGGGGAGGACAGAAAGAGAAGACCATATTCCCGGCACAGCAGCTTTGGAGTAGCTAATGTAGGAAAAGAGACGTTCAGATCCCGAGGGAGACCTAACACCGAGAAAGAAAAATGCAAGAACGAAAAAAGAAAAGGTACATACCAGCACTGTGGTGAGAAATGTCAGCAGGTGTGATACAACAGTCAGGCGGGAAGGGGAAACTCACTGTCTCCTGAGTAGCAAGCCACAGCTTCAACAACACCACCAGCCTTATGAACGGCCTTGACACCAACCTCGATCTGGCTGACGTCGTTGAGAGCGTCGAAGACGCGGAAGATGTCAACACCGCACTTCTTGGCCTGGTCGACAAACTGCTCGATGGCATTGTCGGGAAGAGAAGAGTAGGCGACACCGTTGGCACCGCGAAGCAACATTTGGAAGGGGATGTTGGGCACGAGCTTCCTCATGCGGCGCAGCCTGTCCCAAGGGTCCTCGTAGAGGAAGCGCATGGCCACATCAAAGGTGGCACCACCCCAGCACTCAAGCGAGTAGAGGTTGGAGAGAGCATGGCTGGTCTCGTGGGCAATGTTCAGGAGATCGACAGTGCGGACGCGAGTGGCCAGCAGAGACTGGTGGGCATCACGCCAGGTGGTGTCCATGAGCAGGCAGCCCTTGTACTCGCGGACAGCCTTGGCAAAGGCCTTGGGGCCCTGGTCAAGAAGAATCTGCCTCCAGCCCTTGGTGGCGGGGGCAGAGGTGTCAAGCTTGGAGCCGTCGGGGTTGAGGAGAATAGGCTGGATAATGTCACCCTTGAACTTGGGCTCGCCAACCTGGCCCTTGATTCTGCTGCCGTTGACGGCGATGTCACCAAGGTAGCTCAGAAGCTTCTGAGCACGGTTCTGGCTGCCGACAAGGTCGAAGAGCTGAGGAGTGTCATCAATGAAGGTAGTCCAGCAGTTGCCGTCAATGAAGGTGGGGTGAGTGAGGAGAGAGGCCAGGAAGGGAATATTGGTCTTGACACCACGGATGCGGAACTCGACCAGGGCACGCAGCATCTTCCTGCGCGCAATCTCGTATGTGGAACCTTGGCAAGTGCACTTGACCAACATGGAGTCGTAGTAGGGAGTGATGACGGCGCCGGCAAAACCGTTGCCACCATCGAGACGGACACCGTTGCCACCGGCAGAGCGGTACACCTCGAGCTTGCCAGTATCGGGCTGGAATCCCTTGGCCGGGTCCTCGGTGGTGATACGGCACTGAATGGCAAAGCCGCGGGTGGAGATGCGGTCCTGGGTGAGACCGAGCTGCTCCAGGGTGGCGCCGGCGGCGATCTGGATCTGAGCGGCGACAATGTCGATGCCAGTGATCTCCTCGGTGATGGTGTGCTCAACCTGGATACGGGGGTTGATCTCGATGAAGTAGTAGCGGTTCTGCTGGTCGACAAGGAACTCAGCGGTACCGGCGTTGCGGTAGTTGACCGACTTGGCCAGCTTGACGGCGTCAGCCAGGATGGCGTCGCGGGTCTCAACGGGGAGGTCCTTGGCGGGAGCAATCTCGACGACCTTCTGGTGGCGGCGCTGGACCGAGCAGTCACGCTCGTACAGGTGGACAATGTTGCCATGGTTGTCACCAAGCAGCTGAACCTCGATGTGCTTGGGCTTGTCGAGGAAGCGCTCGACAAAGACGGTTCCGTTGCCGAAAGCGGACTTGGCCTCGGAGGTAGCTCGCTCGAAAGACTCCTTCAGGCTCTCCTGCTCGCGAACGACACGCATGCCACGACCACCACCGCCGTAGGCAGCCTTGATGATGATGGGGAAGCCATATTGATCGGTGAAGGTCTTGACCTCCTCGAAGGTTGCTACGGCACCCTCGGTACCAGGAACGACGGGGACATCGGCGGCGATGGCGAGCTTGCGAGCAGACACCTTGTCGCCGAGCGAGTCGATGACATCGGGAGAGGGACCAATGAACTGTGTGAGTGAACAGGTTAGCTTCGGCGGGTCTCACAGGTTTGGGTGGAGATTGGTGTACGTACGATAAGACCAGCTTTCTCGACATTGCGAGCGAACCCGGCGTTCTCGGAGAGGAAACCGTAGCCTGCACAGCGGGTCAGAGCGAATTGCAAAGAATTTGAGAGTGGGCAGACAAACCAGGGTGGATCATTTGCGCGCCGTGCTCAACCGCGATCTTGATGATCTCGTCGCCGGCGAGGTAGGCTCCGACGGGGGTGTACTGGCCACGCTTGCCAATGACGTACGCCTCGTCGGCCTCTGTGAGCGCTCGTTAGTCGCGGTGAAAACAGTGAGGTTTCGGGGCCTCAGAGGGGTGATTACTTTGCCTGTGCATGCTGAGACGGTCCTCATAACTGAAGACAGCAATGGTGTGCAGTGAAAGCTCATGAGCCTATGCATAGTGAGCAAATGTCTGAGACGATTCCGCAGATGTTGACTTACGGTTCTAAAGATCTGAAAGAGAACTTCGTGTAAGCAGGTCCGTTCGTACAATGCGTGATTGCCTCTGATCAGTAGATCGACATACCCTGATAGCTGTTCACAGTTAGTGCCTGTGGCGCGGGGGAGGGGCAGATCAAGTCAGGGCAAAGACTTACGAATTTCACCACGGTTGGCCACTGTCAGACGGCGAAAAGGCCACAAGTCAGCAAAGCATTCTTCATGGGCATGGTGTGGTTTTTTTGAGGAGGGTGACTCACCAAGAATCTTCTTCAATTGCATGATGCTCGAGTTGGCGCGAATGTGGTGGATGCTCTGACCCTTGGGGACGTCGCCATCGCTGTCGTCGAAGACATCGCTAAATGTCACGGCGGTCTGCGCCATTTCGAGGGCTGTGAGGGGTGGAATAGATGAAATTCCGGGTTCGCAAGTGCGAGAAGGTTGGAGCGAAGAGGTCGGAGGGGGGGGAGTAGAAGGTCTGAGGCGGGCGAGGAGCGTGGTTTTGAAGACCAGGAGAAGAGAGCTCGCTACTTTCTGCTGGCGGCGACGGTCGAGAGAGGGACGGCCGGAGAATGTGAGATCGACCTCGGCGGGGTCACACCGTCACAAGTGATGCAGGGGAGCAGGGGGGGGGGAGGTCTGGGCTGGACTGGGTGCCGGGGCCTTCTTGCAGGGGGGATCGGTGGTCGATGGTGGGGGTTGGATGCCCGCCTTGCTGGAACCAGAGAGCTAGACGCGGACCTGGAGCTTGCTGGTGCACCGAAGACCTAGGTCGAACCGGTGGTGGTGGTGGCGGGTGGTGGAGACGCGCTGTCAAGTCGCCGATAAGAGATCCAGGAGTGTAGCTCGGCCCGAGTTATCACGGCGTAGAGACAGTGTCGATGGAAAGCAACGAGGGCGACACGACGTCGAGTCGTGATCCAAGACCGTATACGATTTCGAAAGACGAAATAATAGGACTGCTTCTTATCGATGCCAATAGAAAGGATGAGGAGTAATTAGTATGCGTCAAGGGCAGAAGCGCTGACGAGGAGCAAGACGTCAAAGTGGTGGGTGTGGACGACGCGGGGTGGAGGGGCGTAGGTTTTGGAGGAGAGTAGATGGGAGTCGGAAAGGAAGAAAAGCAGCAAGAGAACGAGGAATGAGGGGCTCTCTTGTACGATCCTGAGGAGCCCGAGCCCGTTGCGTGTAGGTAGGTAGATAGGCACCAGTAGAGGAAAGCACGACTCTCGTTCGTTCCGAGGTACTTCTCCTCTGCGTCCTGTTGACGCCCCCTTCCCAAGCCAGTGCAGTGCGAGCGCAACGTTGGGATGGATGGTTCTTTCCCAGGGCACCTCGTCGACACCGTAAACTTGAACCGTATCACCATGTACCAGAGTACCTATCTTTGGGTTGGCTGGCGGTGGAGTGGAGGGGCCTGCGGACGGGCAGGACATGTCGACACGCACCTGCAACGTGAACCAGCCCGCCCCCTCCCTGCCCTTCGATTGATCCTCACCTCATCTCAACTCGAACTGGAGAGGCCAGGGGGAGATACCGCCCGCCCGTGCATGCACTTGCAGCTGTCACTGGAAACAGTCCGTCGACGGTGATTGTGCCCCAGCAAGGCCCAGGGGACCTGCTGGCACTGCCCGGCCCAGTGTTAGTGCTGGTACTGGTGTTGAGATGGCGTCCGTGTCCAAGCTCAAGCTCCCTGGTGTGAAGCGCCAGCTCGATGGCAAGAAAGAAGGTTGTCCCGCCATCGAGTCCAAGCCACGGTCCATCTCCACGCAAACACCCACCCCCCCTTTCTGCTGACCGCTGCCGTCTCTATTTTTTTTTCTTCTGTGCGCCCTTCTACAGTTCTGCCCATGGCGACGAGAGCGCGAGTCAATTAACGCATTCCCTCTGCTCTCAGAGCTTCTTGGCAAAGATCTGAGCCTCGCCCAGACTCTAAAGTCTCGGGCTTATGCTGCTGCTGCTGCTGCTGGTGATGATGAGACAAGACACATGCCGCCAGCACATGGAACAAATGAGACTGCCCCGCGCCGGCCATTGGCCAACCACAGTGCACTGATCACGAAGCTCACCACTCTATTGCTGGCCCCATTGACAAACAGCTTTTGGCTCTTGCGAGATTGTTGAGTCAATCAGCACAAAAGGCTGAACACAACATGACAATCAAGTCGGTTGCACGACCTAAACGGAAGGACGTAGGAAAACGGTCACCTAGCGCAAACGGAGTGTGGCACGACACAGCTCTCCTCCATCGAAATGGGCACTTACTGCCACATCTGAGGGTGCGTGAGGGCAGGCAAATGTCGGCACATGCAAAACTAAACCACGACGAACCCCGGACGAGATCGTGCATCCAGATCGCGGGATCCAAGAGAATACCCCAAGCAACAATCCCTCGGTACCGAGGATAAGACGGCTTTACCTGTCGCGTGCTTGCGTGCTCTCCCGCCTTCCCGGGGTCGGGTCTGGGGAAAGCATCCATTCAGAGAGAGAGGCTCATGAGCAGCGAACAGGTCGAAGACGACGACTCGGGAGAACTCGACGCGATAGTCCTGTTCCTGACTATTTTCGCCCTGCGGCCTGCTGAAATGCGGGGTGTGGGCTGCTCTCCCACGCTGCCAGCCTGTCGGTCGTCAAGCCGATGCTTGCCCTTCCGTGTTGCTCCGATGTGCTTCTCGTCCGCCCGGTGCCAGGCCCTGTCAACACGGGAGATGCCTCCAGTTTTCCGTGTTGGACCGAGAATTAGATGCCTCTTTCGGCGGAGGATGAAGCCGGCCGGGACATCCATCATGGTCCAATGTTGTCGACCTCCATCGCCATCGCCAGTCCCGGGCGGGAGGTGATTCACGACGGAGGAGGGCCCACGACCGTTTCGTACCGCCGTTTTCTCTTTTGCCCTTTCTTGTGTCCGTCGCAGCCTCCCACCTTTTCGATAAGGTACGTACCTTTCAAGACGCTGCGCTGTTTTCTGCCATCGGACTTTTGATTTCTGATTGTTCATTGTTGTTGCTAAACCCCTCTCTCATCACCGGTCGCGTCGAAACCGGAGCCCGCCAAACCTCCACGAAGGGCCTTCGTCAGATGGCTCAGGGTGCGGGATAAACCACCGTCCTCCCACGCCGGCCCTGTCGCCGCACGTCGATTGGCCCGACCCCCAGGTCATTGTCTCGTTAGTCAGGGTGAGGAGCACACCGTTACGTCGCTGTAATTCTTCCGCCGCCGACCTCGGCAGAGCCGTGACGACGCCATAGCCGCTCGTCCGCTGCAGATACGTGAATGAGAGATGACTTTCTTTCACCACTACCCCCCAATGGTCTCTCAAGCCAGGGTGGGGACGCTGGGCTAATTCGGTCATGTTACACGAGTGTTTTATTCCCGTGAGTATGACTCCTGGCTGTGCGGATATCCAAGGTTAGAACAGGCATTTGCAACCCGTCCGTCGTCCGTGTGTGAGTCGACGACACCCCCAAGATGGTTCGTGGCTTTTTCGAGCAAACGCGCGCCAAGCCGTACCGCCCTCTCGTCCACTTCGGTGGGGGGTTACCGAAGGGCCCTGAGCTGCCCACCCCCCTTGGGTTTCGGTGTGATTATGTGGCGACGTCTATCTTTGGGTAGCGCGGTGGATAAGGTTGCTGTTTGGCTCGTGACAGTGAAACGAAGCATGTCTTCGGGCCTTGCCCCCGAACTCTCGTTTCGAGGTGCCAATGGCCCGAAATAGCGAGCCGAGATTTTGCCCGCTCGATGAGCTTGCGAGATCCGCCGTTTCGTTTCGTGCAACGAAGGCAGGTGGGGGTTGGCACGGTCGGTGACTGTCTGATATTCATCCTTGCTCCGGGCCACAGCTTGACCTGCGGCAGCTTGTAGGCCGCTCGCTCCATCCTAATCTCAGATCGGCAGTCCAAGCCACCACCCTGTCCAGATGGATCCGACTTCCCCCAAAGCAATATCCCGACAAGACCAACAAAAGTGTTGCCAAGGACCACGTCCTCGATGATGAATGATGGGCACGCCTCATTCTACATTGTATGTCATGCCAGGCAGATAGGATTTCTACGAGCAGAGGTAATGTCAGAGGTGATAATACATGATGGCACTCTCTCCCCCCCATGCTGTCCAATGTGCCCTTTCTGCGATCATCCAGCTCGATCCCTCATTTGTCCATCTCAAGCCTCTCCCTTGTGCCCCAGATATCGGGGCTGCAGCGCGTCCGCAAGCCCATCTGCCGCAAGCCATTTCGCGGCTGGTCTCTCTGTCCCTCTCCCCCACACCCCACGCGGATCGATCCTGTGCGGACCCCCGTATTAGGTAGACCGCAGTAGCCGCATCTGTTCAGTACGCTCGTCCTTCGTTCATGGTAAGGAGGCAAAAAGGGGTATATATCTATTTGCCCAGGGCCTCCTTGACCTTGCCCTCGACCTTGGCCTCGACAGCCACGGCCTTGTCCTTGATCGCCTCGGCCGTCTCCTTGACGTTGCCTCCCGCGGCAGCGGCAGCTTCCTTGCCTCCCCACTTGTGCCATGACAGGTATCGGTAGCCCTGCGTCAGCTGCGAGCACTCGTTGACAAAGTGGCACGCGAACAGGAGGTAGTTCTTTGGTGAGACGGCGAGCGAGTAGCGCATGAAGGTGGCGGAGTAGATGACAAGAGCGCCCGTCATCTGGCCCGAGATCCTGTACAAAGTCTACGTTTAGTCAAGATTCACAGTCGTAGACACGATTTGCAGGCGATCCAGGCAGGGGGACTCACAGGTCGGGAGACTTTTGGGTGTCGAGAACGGCGGCCACGGGGATACCAAAGTTGGAGGCAGGACCCCAGAAATCTAGACCCAGGCATCAGTGCTTGCTCTTCTGATATGCGTCTTCTTCAGAAAGCTCGTCGCATTCGCAACTTAAAGGCGCGATCGGAGCCGCATGAGGATCCTCCGGATATGCCAACCACAGGCAGGGGCACCTCAACAGCAGCAGCAGCAGCAGAAACGCCAGTGATGGATCGATCGCGTTCATTCCAATGACAATCGCATCTCCTGGCCTCGTCCTTCACCCGGCGATGCGAGGTACACCAACTCAAGAAAATGTCCCAACGTACGCGTAGAGCAGAAGTAGTTCAGTGCCGGGTTCGCCCGGATCTTGGCATTGACAGCCTTGATGAAAGCAGCCATTGTAATCGTTTGGTCGGAGGGAGCGGCAAGTCGTTCAATCGGTCAGTCGTGATGTTGGCGAGGTCGACGCGGACGACCTGGGGATTTGGGTTGGGAGATTGAGGTTGGAAATGGACGTTCTTCTTGTTGGGGAGCTTGACTTTCCGAGTCGGAGCTTGGATCGGAACCGCTGCGCTGCAATTCGTGGAGGTGCGTGCGTTGAGTTTTTGCGGTTCAACGGAGATAGCGTCCATCCGGGGATAAGATGGACGTCACGTGCCCTTTGCTGAAGGCAGTGTCAGAGGACATAGGGGACGATACAACGGCTTCGTACTGCCGTTCATTGCGAATCCTGGACTCAATGGCCGCATATGGTATATCTTGAAGCTATGAATTGTTGTTGTTTCGTATTTTAAAGAATGACATGAGTTGTTGTGAGATTCTTAATTCACAATATGTGCACCGAAGGCATGAAAATGAGTGTCAACAAAGTGACAGCACTGCGTTCACGAGCGGAATCAGCAGATGCACATCTTGGTCGAGACAATACTTAGCAACCTTCCATGTAGATGAAGTCATACCAAGACAACGTGTTTTTTTTTGTTCTATTTGGGGTTCCTTCGAATCATTGCTCGCGCAAGTTGATATGAACAGGAGATGCTCAAAATGTGGACGTTCACCAAATAGGTAATTATCGAAAGCAACCAACGTATTCATCTTTGTCCGACACCGTACTAACCAGCAGTCACAAGTCAAAGTCTAAGTGACTCAATGGCGGCTTAAATAAAAGACTAGCATGTCAAAGCTACAAACACCTCAAGATGCAGCAGAGCTTCAGACACGCACTCATGAAACCATATCACTCAGGTGAAACCACTGCCCAGTAGGCGACGAGGAGCGAGGACCACGCAAGCCTCAGAACCAGGATTCCTTGAGAGGTGATCGTTTGCAAGAGCCTTGAATTAGTCTGTTACCAAGCTTAGGGTCATTTCCTGGTCTACGAAAAAGGCCACGACGAAGCACATTTGGATGGCTTTTAACGCAGCAACGGCCAATGCATTACCCTGCACCGTGTCACATATCACCCCAGCTCATCACCACGAACATGACAACGCCCAAAGCTCGAGGACCATAACCACGCAATTTTCAGTCAGTCATGGCGCGGAAATCATGTTCATTTACCCAGCCTTCCAAGGTTGAGCCGCTCCTCTACAGATTCGCGTTTTTGTCCATCCGTCATGGTATTCTTCAATATCCCCAAACGCCAATGGTCATCATAAATCTGACGCGAGCGTACAAACGCCCGACCCTCCTGTCAGCGACACTCACGTATTACCTCCGAGGCGGAGGGTTGAAGCCAGGAGGACCGCCGCCAGGAGGACCGGGAGGGAAGCCTTGGGGAGGGAATGCGCCACCCTGAGGAGGGAATCCAGGGGGGAATCCACCAGGGAAACCCGGGGGAGGGGCTGAGTAGGTGTGAGCGGGATGAGGGCGAGCCATCTGGAATGATGAGGACTTACCTCCACGTCCGGCAAAAGGAGGAGCACCGCCAGGGAATCCGGGGAAGCCAGGGGGAGGCGCGCCACCACCAACACCAGCAGCAGGTCCCTAAAAAACAAATCAGCGATTGTAGTAGAAGTGAGAGACGTCGAAACTTACTGCCAATGACGGCGGCACAGCAGCGCCGCGACCAGCAGGGCGGGCAACGCCAGGGCCAGCACTGAGAGTAGATGCGATGCCGCCGGTTGCGCTCTTGCCCAGGCGAGCGCTAGGGTCCGCAGGAGGCTCCGACTCGACCGACAGCGAGACGATCTGAGCGCCTCGGACAATCGTAAGGCCCAAAGTCCTCTTCTCCTCCGACTCGACAGTCTGGCCAGAGCCGCTCGCGCCAGGCGCGGAGGGCTTGTTCTGCTTGCGCTTGACGCGTCGGAACTCTTCCGTGTCGGCGAGGACGAGGTTCATGTGCTGTCATGTCATCAGCGGGAGCTACAGGGGAAGCGGTGGAGGACGGAGTTGCGGACCTTGTCAAATGCAAGCATCTGACCGGTCATCTGGCGACCGTCGTTCAGAGTGACTCTCATCCGGTAGTTGATCTAGCATGGCGTCAGTAGGTCTCGATCGCGACTTCGAAAGGATGCTCATGGAGCCTTGCACCGTCGGGGGGTACGTACGTAGCCGGCCTAAAGAGAGATCGTGTCAAGTCAGCCTACATTGTCAACCTCGAGCTTCAAAGGAAGTCGGTGGGGGAAGACCACTCACCATCTTGCCCTGTTTGTTCGCCATGGTTGCGGTTGGAAAGCGAGTTGCCGCGAGTGCAGCTTCTCAAGAGGTTCAAAAAATGGTTCTTTGCGTGCAGATGTCGGGTGACGTCTGCGACCTTCAAGTGCTTTGCTTTCGCGGAGCTCGTTGGAGGTCAAGGGTGGGTGGATATGGCTTCCAATGAGAGTTGGGAAATTTCCCTCGGGAGGCTGAAGACAGACAGAAGGCTGAAGCTCCGACAGGCTGCTGGTGGGGCAAACGTGAGCTCGAAGTGCTGACAGCCGGCAGTAACAATCACCAGCTGGTGCACTAGTCCACTTCGGGCCCCTCCACAGTGGGGTCGTCGCCCACCCTGGGCGCAAGGGCTTTGGGGCTGCAAAACCCTCTTGAATTTCGAACGACTCTCAAGTTCCCGAACTTTTTGCCAGCAACTTCACGCCCAGTGATCAGCGCCCACGACAAGTCCGACCATCAACCACCGTCGACCACCCCAACCGCCAAAATGTCCGAGAAGGCCGCCAACCCCATGAGGGAGCTTCACCTCCAGAAGCTCGTCCTCAACATTTCCGTCGGAGAGTCTGGTGACAGGCTCACCCGTGCCGCCAAGGTGCTTGAGCAGCTTTCTGGTCAAACCCCCGTCTACAGTAAGGCACCCACGACGAGAGCAGCAGTGTGCGCATGAATCTGACAACTATCAATAGGCAAGGCTCGCTACACCGTCCGTACCTTCGGTATCCGTCGTAACGAGAAGATTGCTGTCCACGTCACCGTCCGTGGCCCCAAGGTATGCCTTTCTTCCAACTGTCGCACATTCGTGCACACAATTGTCGCTAACCGGTATGTCTACAGGCTGAGGAGATCCTCGAGCGTGGCCTCAAGGTCAAGGAGTACGAGCTCCGCAAGCGCAACTTCTCCGAGACCGGCAACTTCGGCTTCGGTATCTCTGAGCACATCGATCTCGGCATCAAGTACGACCCCTCCATCGGTATCTACGGCATGGACTTCTACGCCTGCATGACCCGCAAGGGTGAGCGCGTCGCCACCCGCAGGCGCTGCAAGGCCAAGATCGGCTCCAACCACAAGATCAAGCGTGAGGAGACCGTCAGGTGGTTCAAGCAGCGCTTCGACGGCATTGTCCGGTAAATGCGCAAATGGACAATGACACTTTTTATGGGATGGCTTAACGGATTCTGGGTCACGGGCGAAAAGGAAAAGGGCTTACCGGCGTGTATTTCCCGCTGCTTGCAGCAACTTCATCAAGCTTGATTTACGAGTAATCGTCACAAGCTACGGCCTCAGAGACCGACCGGCGTAATGCCGGCTTCCACCCTGCTTGCAGTCCCAGTGCGTAGAGTGATGTGAAATGCGAATTGGCCCAATACAGTCCGAAAGTGGCTTGTCGACTGTGCTGTAAAGATTTGGTTCCTGCCACTTTCCAAGGGGTTCTCTGTAGACCTGCATCTCGTCTGGGAAGCATTTACCACCTTGACATCAGAGCATCATCGGCGAATGGCCATGTGCGTCTATCCTTCGATGCGCGAAGTGGCTTCAATGGTGCTGCGCCGTCGTCAATTGAAGCTCATCATCGACTTCACTGTGATATGGCGTAGGTCATTCGCACATGCATTATGTGTTGGGGTTGACAATGTGGAGGCATCGCGCTGCCTCAGTGTTTGTCCTCCGGATCCTGGACCACATATGCTTAATTTCTGCGGACTACACATGTCTGACATGGCGACAGCATACTGTGAATGCTACTCGCAAGATACTGCTGTCTGCGCTGTTCATTCACCAGTATCTCCTTATGTGTCCACGCGCTCACTTCCACGTCTGATTGTTATGAACCGCGGGAAAGATGGAAAAATCGTGGCGTCAAAGGATGAGTAGCTTTTCAATAAACGAATTTGTTTTTTGAGGTTCTGCATATGAACGAAATACATTATTGGGAAGCCGTGATCGTGAGATGTAGCTGAACATGTACAGCTCACACAACACACAATATTCAGACCTTTCACCACGTGCATGTTTATCTCCGTGATCAAGATGAACCTATTTAAGGTCAATCTCCCAAAATCCTTGACCAAGCCGAACACGACTGAGGACCCACGATGTCCTAGTCGAAAGCTCGAGCCGTCGTTGAGAGAGCCGTGATAAGGGAGCCTGGGAAGTCAGGCAGGTTGAGGGCAACCTAAGGGTTTCAGGCCAACGGTGCAGTTTGAGTAGCTTGAGTGCTCGGGGCTGAGCATAATCCGATCCGGTGCCCGAGGTCGGGCGTTCGGTCGGGCAGGCAACGAGTGGCCTCAAGCAGTGAGAAGGGCATCGCCGCTCTGGCCTGGCGATTCACGAAGAAAAAAGACATTGAAGCGAAGGAACAAATCTAGTAAAAGAAAGTCCGAGGCATCACGACCTCCAACGGTCAGAGTTTAGGCCATAACGTCGCTGAGAGACGAGGCTGGCTAGGTGATCAGGCTTCCAAGGCACCCATCGGGAAGGGCAGGACCACGCCTAAATGAGAATTGTTAGGGAGTTTCCGGGCTGACTGAGGTAAAACTTCGCGGATACCTGCTGATTGGCCGGTTCAGCCAGCTCCCACTCCACTCGATCCTTTCCTGCTCCATCTCCCTCTCACCTTTTCCCTCTGCCGGGTCTTCCTCCAAAAAAGACTCCATTTGCACTCCTGCAAAGGCACCATCAACACCCCCAATCTCCCCTCAAACTCAATTGCACCTGTTGCAATTGATTCTCCCTCGATCTAGACAGCGTCGACGATCCTCCTAATATGTTCCGCAACGCCCTCCGCCAGTCGACGCGCGCCGTCGGTGCGGTCTCTGCCGCCGGCAGAGTCGGTGCCGTAAGTCGTCCTCCCCTTAGCCCGAAAACCATCTCCAATCCATCGAAAAACATGGTCGGCCGTGTCGGAAGTCATCCACGAGTTCTTTGAAAGCTCAATTGGGGTCTTGAAGCCGGTCGCGGCGTCGTGGGCAAGCTTTTCATGAGCTCCCTTGACACCGTGTTGTCCTTGTCGTTGGGGGCGACACCACAGCATTTTCGGGGCTTCGGCTAACTTGATTTTCAACCGCCCAGACTCGAAATGCCGCACCCGCCATCAACGCCGCGATCCAAGTCCGAACCTACGCTGAGGCCAAGGCCGCGCCGACCGAGGTCTCTTCGATTCTCGAGCAGCGCATCCGTGGCGTCCAGGAGGAGTCCAACCTTGCCGAGACTGGCCGTGTCCTTTCCGTTGGGTACGTCTGGCCCGAGCACCAATCAGCAAAGGGTAGTTGGAGGACTTCCTAGTGTCTACCGCACTCCGGAACCTCCAGGAACTCTTTGCGACGAAGTGCATCGCCGAACTGTTTCGCTGACGAAATTTTCCTCTTAGTGATGGTATCGCCCGTGTGCACGGTATGGCCAACGTCCAGGCTGAGGAGCTTGTCGAGTACGTTCATCCATCTCACGATCAATTTCGCACCGCCATTTAACTCATTTCTAGGTTCGCCTCTGGCGTCAAGGGCATGTGCATGAACCTCGAGGCTGGCCAGGTCGGTGTCGTGCTTTTCGGTTCCGACCGTCTCGTCAAGGAGGGTGAGACTGTCAAGCGTACCGGCGAGATCGTAAGTATCAATCATTTCTTTACAGCCCAACAACAGTTGCTAATACATACCAGGTTGAGGTCCCCGTCGGCCTCGAGCTGCTCGGCCGTGTCGTCGACGCTCTCGGCAACCCCATCGATGGCAAGGGTCCCCTCAACGCCAGCGGGAAGCGCCGTGCCCAGCTCAAGGCCCCCGGCATTCTGCCTCGCCAGTCCGTCAACCAGCCCGTGCAGACTGGTCTGAAGTCCATCGACGCCATGGTTCCCATTGGTCGTGGCCAGCGTGAGCTGATTATCGGTGATCGCCAGACCGGTAAGACTGCTGTCGCCCTGGACGCTATGCTCAACCAGAAGCGTTGGAACAACTCCAACGACGAGGAGAAGAAGCTCTACTGCGTCTACGTCGCCGTCGGCCAGAAGCGTTCCACCGTTTCTCAGCTCGTCAAGACCCTCGAGGAGAATGACGCCATGAAGTACTCCATTGTCGTCGCCGCCACCGCCTCCGAGGCCGCCCCTCTCCAGTACATCGCTCCTTTCACTGGTGGTAAGTCTTCAACATTCCTATGCATTGAACAACAGCTAAACTCCTCAAAGCGGCTATCGCGGAATATTTTAGGGACAATGGCATGCACTCTCTGATCATCTACGACGATCTCTCGAAGCAGGCCGTCGCTTACCGCCAGATGTCTCTTCTTCTCCGCCGTCCCCCCGGACGTGAGGCCTACCCCGGTGACGTCTTCTACCTCCACTCTCGTCTTCTCGAGCGTGCCGCCAAGATGAACAAGAAGCTCGGCGGTGGCTCCATGACTGCTCTGCCCATCATCGAGACCCAGGGTGGTGACGTCTCGGCCTACATTCCCACCAACGTCATTTCTATCACTGACGGCCAGATCTTCCTCGAGGCTGAGCTGTTCTACAAGGGTATCCGTCCCGCCATCAACGTCGGTCTTTCCGTCTCGCGTGTCGGTTCCGCTGCCCAGCTCAAGGCCATGAAGCAAGTCGCTGGCTCGCTCAAGCTCTTCCTGGCCCAGTACCGTGAGGTCGCCGCCTTTGCCCGTTTCGGTTCCGACTCGGACGCCGCCACCAAGCAGACCCTTGCCCGTGGTGAGCGTGTAAGTTTTTGCTCAGTCCCTGTGTGAACGGAAACGTATGCTAATCCCACCACAGTTGACCGAGCTCCTCAAGCAGAAGCAGTACTCTCCTCTTGGCGTCAACGAGATGGTCCCCATCATCTACGCTGGTGTTAACGGCCACATCGACAACATTCCTGTCGACAAGATCCTCCAGTGGGAGTCTGACTTCCTCAACCACCTCAAGACCAACGAGGCTGACCTCCTGGCGACCATCGACAAGGAGGGCGCCCTCAGCAAGGACCTCGAGGCCAGGCTCAAGGACGTCACCCAGACGTTCGTCAAGAGCTTCCTCGGTTAAGCGGCCACTCGTGGTGTAATAACGGTCCGACATGGTGCACGGGGGAGAAGCTGTCTATACCGAAGTGATTTCTGTTTTTCCGTAGAAGCGGGAGGACGATTCGAAGGGTGCACCGGGCTGGGAGAAGCACCTGGGGAAGCGATCTGGGGCGCGATTCTCCAGTCGAACCACTGTAAAATAGAGCTCAAGACTCAATTAACGCCCTCGATTCCTTTTGTCCTTGAACAGCTGATCTCTGTTCCGTCTGTAGCCCGTTTTAGTATTGGAGCTGTACTTTTCTGTCGTATTCGCCCATCGGGCCTTTGTGTCCGGCGCACCGTTGCATCGTCGTGACATCATTGCTTTCCACCCGAGCTGCGCTTGCCTTCTTCAAACCCTTTCTTCCGTCTTGCCTTCATTTGTTGAAATTCATACTTCAGATGATCTTGCTTATGACAGTGTAACTGCCTGATTGGAACACCAGGGCACCGCTTTATCCGAGGTCGCTTCATCCACCATCCATTTCCTTTCCCCGCCTCCATCACCCATTCGTCCGAACCACCGACTCGAGGCATGCCCGCAGACGCGTCAGATATGTCTGCCGCTACAAAGGAAACCCTCGCTCGCGTGCAGCGCATGATTCCACCGATGCTGGATCACTTCCACAAGGGTATGCTTTCCTTCTTCGCAAGACCGATCGCATCAGCACTGACAGTGGACATGGACAGGACAGCTCGGCCGCGTCGGCGTCCTGGGAGGCAGCGAAGACTATACCGGCGCGCCGTATTTCTCGGCCATGGCCAGCGCTCGCTTAGGATGCGATATGGTGCCTTTCTCTTTCTTGCCTATCGGCTCTACATCTCGATTACTTGTCGGCTAACCCCTCGGCAGTCTCACGTCATTTGCACACCGGCCGCCGCCGCCGTCATCAAGACCTACTCGCCCAACCTCATGGTTCATCCGTTGATGCGCCAGTCGCCCGCCGCATCCGCAGACACGCGCTCCTCGACTGACACTAGCAAGAAGAACGCCGAGACTGACCCGGAACGTATTGCTTCAAGCGTGGCCGACATATTGCCTCGACTCCACGTGCTCGTCATCGGACCAGGCCTCGGCCGCGATCCGCTGATGCAGGCAACAGTGGCACGAGTTGTGCGTGCCGCGCGCGAGCGGGACATTCCTATCATCCTGGATGCTGACGCGCTTCTGGTCGTGCAAAAGGATCCTAGCCTCGTGCGTGGTTATGCGAAGGCAGTGCTGACGCCCAACGTAGTCGAGTTCTCACGGCTGTGTAAAGCACTCGGTGTCGATGAGGACAAAGTCACGTCTGAAGGCGGCGAGACTGGCAAGGTGGAGGCTCTGGCCAGGGGACTTGATGGCGTGACCATCATCCAGAAGGGAGCCAATGATTATATCTCGAACGGCAAGACAACGCTTGTCGTTGATCTCCAAGGTGGCAAGAAGCGCAGCGGCGGACAAGGCGATACACTAACGGGGGCTATCGCTACGTTCCTGGGGTGGAGGCACGCATATCTTGAAGGCCTCTGGGATCGAGGCGATGCTACACTAGCTGAGGACGAGCTAGTCGGACTTGCAGCATTTGGAGGAAGTGCAATCACCAGAGTACGTGCCGCTTGCACTCGAAGCCCGAGCACGGAAAGGAGTGTCAAACTGACTGTTCCTTAGGAATGCTCGCGACGAGCCTTTGCAAAGAAGGGACGGAGCCTACAGGCGAGCGATCTTACTGACGAAGTCCACAACGCTTTTATGTACCTGTTTGGTGACGTCGATGTTGACGCGGAGACCTCCAAGCCATGATAGTACCGCAGTCTCGGCTGAACATGGGCGTTTTGCGAGCATCGAACGAACACACGGCAAATAAGATAGATGCGCATCTTACGCAGCGTTCCAAAACTGCCAGGCGTCTTCGGAACGGAAAGCAAAAAGACCCAATGAACCCTATATCAAAATGGTAGTGAGGTGATCGCAGAGTGGTAGCTGACAGCTAATCTTGGTTATATCTAGTCATCTTGTCTACATATTGTGCGGCTCTCTACGTCTCACACTCGGCCTTTCCAAATTTGCAAGACGTACACCTGGCTTCAAGTTATCATCACATTGCCACCACCTGACGTTCATCCAACACTTGCTGTACTAATACCATCATTCCAGCTCGATGCCTTTCTTCCACTGACTAGATTCCCGAAGCCACAACTTGAATGTCTGCAACCTCGGCTCCTGCTCTCGCAACCTCGCCAAATCCGCCGCGTAGCCGGCTGTCCTGAACCACGCAAAGCTCTTCTCTGCATCCTTCACCCACCACAGCACCGGCCACGCGAGCACAGAATATGTCAGTGGCAACTCCTCGCCAACCGCCTTCCGAAACACCTCTTGCAGCTCATGGAAACTGATCTCATCCCCAGCCAGCGCGACCGCTTTGCCTGTCCAGGCGTCAGGCTCCATCAGCGCCCTGGCGGCAAACATTCCAATGTCTCGGGTGCTGACGAGTTGCATCCGTCGATCGGCTGGCATCCCCTCTCGCCATAGCGTCGCCATGAAAGCACCGAAGAAGCCAGGGTTGTACGTGTCCATGAACCCTGTGGGACGGAGGATAGTCCACCTTACCCCGGCGTGGTCACACGCCTCGCGGAGTCGCAGCTCGATGCGGTGCTTGGCCGCAAAGTGAGGAATGTCGGTCGGAGTCGACCAGCTTGCTATATCGCCGCCGCGGTCGACACTCGTGAAGACGAAGTGGTCTACGTTTGTGTCCGCCGCGACGGCTGCCTCGATCAGTGGCAGAGCTTGCCCTTCGTCGTTGGGCGGGGTGGTGACGAGGAACACGCTGGAAATGGTTGGATGGGCAGCAAAGATTGGACCCGGATCTTGCGTATCGCCCCGCACAAGGATTATGCTCGGAAATGCTGACTTGAGAGCCTGAGCCTTGGGTGATGTTGTCGACCTCGTGAGGGCGAGGATGCGATGAGGGGGGTTTGACGGGGCTGATGCGACGAGAGCTTCAATAACTGATCTGCCCTGGTTGCCAGTGGCACCAACGATGAGGATATCATGGGACATGTTTAACCTGAAGTTCATGTAAGCGAAGGTTTTACGAAGTGGTAAATCTCTCTCTTCGCGAACTCCATCCATGGCTGACCCTCCTCCATATGTACCTAGGGGCTCGGAGACTTCTTCTGCCTGCGGCGACTTTTGCCCAACAGCGAGTTCGCAGAAGTAGAATGAACAGCCAACAAAGGCCCAACGTCCATATTTAGAATCGAAACACCGATTTGGCGATTCTTCAATGTCGCATCAATTGGTGTTAATCCTGCGATAGGCGAAGACCTCATCATATGCCATCTGCATTTTTTGGTTCCCAATGCCAGCCGTCACACACTTGTGCCATGGCGAAAGCTAATGACATTGAGACTAATACCCGCGGGTGCACTACTTTGAAAGTATGTTGCTGCAAGATTGAGTGAAGATTCAATTGATCATCGCTTTGTTGTCCTCGAGATGCTGCCGTCTTCTGGCCAGGTCAATACCCATCTCTTATCGTAAGACCTTTCCACGACACGGGACGTCCACCTAGCTTCCTTGCCCATGTTGGTACGATAGACAAAACAAAAATGTAGGCAGGAAAACAACATCATACTCTACCATTTAGACCTTGGCTCGGTCAGTATGGTCATTTCTGTTAGGTTCCCGAACCGAACCGAACGCGAGGGAGCCGCAGCCCAGTTCATGAGGCTGACAAGTTGGACCATGTATCTTGATGACTTCTCATGAGAAACCGCTCGTGTTCTGACGAGGCCTGGCCGCATCAATGATGCAGATAAGCTCCTGAGATACTGGCACGAGTCTCGAGCACACTACGACCGGGACGACATGTGGGCGAGTTCATTCTTCTTTTCCTGAGCCCCTCAACGAAGTAAAGCAGGCTCAGATGATTTCTCGCAGGGCGTAACACGCCATTGAGTGCTCTCGAAATGAGCATGGCGTGACGAAAGCTCCCACGGGGTAATTGTTCGGCTGCCAGCGGAGCTTGACTGTTTCGCGTGCTCCAACCAGTGGCCACATGCACTCAGGCGCTAACATGTAGAAGAAATAGAGCGCCTCTGGGACTAGTGAGCGTGCCATTCGTTGACCGCTCTGAGACCGGGCTGACCTCTTGAAGACGACCCTTGACGTATCCCGCCACGACAAGCACATCGTTTTGCCCACCCACCAACTGATGTCATCTCCACCACTTTTGTTCATCCCCTACCAAAGAAACACAAAGGCAAGACACCCCTCTGCCCAAGGGGGCCGTACAAGCTCCCGGCAAGGAGCGGAAACCGGTCTCAAAACAGTAGATCTCGTATTGAGGTGGGCGGACCCATGAGCAACAATCATGTCAGAGCTTGCAATGCACACCCAGCCCCCGAAAGCAAGCACCATGTCGATTGCCAACAAGGTTGCGGCTGGTTTTGAGATCAACGGCGTAAAGCAACGCCTGTGCTGCTCACACACCTGCTGCTTCTCCGACCAACCACCTGATGCGTGTTGAAATGGCTCAACTTGGTGATCTATCCAGTTGTCAAGCTACGGCCACTGCGAAGACGGGCGCATCCTATTCCGTTCCTATTGATGCTGGCTTGGAAACACGCCACTGATCGGACGCGGGCAAGGCGTCACACACGACATGGCCCTGTCTCCTGACTGTGAACCTGCGAATGAAGGGCTTCGAAAGCTGGCGATGCCGCTTCAGGAAGCTCGAAGAAACAAATTGGTGCACCGTCATCTACTGGCTCTCGTGTTGGCTCGGTGGCTGAGACGGGGGCAAATGAATGCCTGCAGAAGCAATAGTGTCCACGACACTTCTTGGTCCCCATCCGGGGCCGTACCCTGACCTTGCTCAGTCTTCATCAACTTTTCACAAACACCTTGTGCTTGGAGAATCATGCGTTATTCACGGCGAAACAGAGGCTTGCTCCTGATGGCTGATCGCGTGAAAGCCCTGTCGCCATGTGGTGAGAAACATGTCGACTCAGGGACCGCAACGTGGAGGATACCCACTACAAGGACGACAGAAGAAAGTCAATCCCGGCGTTGTCGTACTCTCTTCATCCGCGTCTGCTCAGCTTTTGATCTCTGGAGAAGCCGGATTGTGAGACGAGACGATACGATGCCCGTGATCAGTGAAAAGGGGGCAGCACAAAAGTGAGAGATCGAAACTCGGTGGCGGACGCGGCAGCCAGTAATGACCAAGCAGAAGCGAACGAGACCGGAGTAATAGATTCGAACGAGTACAGTGCCACCTCTACACGTTTAGTCGATGACCACAGTCCCACCACGGCTTGGGATCACAAGTCCGACGTCAGGGACTGCCAGATGCAGGCACCCGAAGAGAGCCTACTCGACCCAGGCGCCGCCCGGAACCTCGGTGCTCTCGCGTAGCCTGATTGTTGTAGCTAACGGAGCTTAGGATCTTTTTATCCGCGATCCTGCACTCGCAGATCAAGACCATGCAAGGGCGTCGGCATCTGCGCCAAGACTTTCACTATTCGTGGGGATTGAACGCAAGGAGCACCGACTCCACGCACTTGCAAGATTGGCGTTGCTGCTCAGTCTCGAAGTGCACAGTGAAGAAAATGTTGCGGCGCTGAGACATGGGATAATGCCCGTGGTGCAAACCAAGCCGTAGAAGACGTCAACAACGTGAAGCGGTAGTCTCAAGTTAAACATGGGGGTCACGACGAACCTTCCGACGAACGGCGCGATACATGGGAAGCAGGATCAAAATCATGTTGCGCCTGTGGCGGTTCGCGTGATTTCGCTCAACGTGCGCCTAACCCGCTTTCCGAGTACATGGCATGGCGGTTCAGCGACGTCGGATGGCGACATTGCTGCGTCGCGCCGGCGTGGGACAAGTTCCCGGACAAGTTCCCGTCTCCTCCTGATGCGGTATGGCAATCCAGCGTGAGATATCTCTAGCTGTGAAGACGCTATCTTCTCAAATCTAGATGAAACTGGCTGGAGCGGTATCACAAGAGGGACACTCTCGACTGCAGGCCCAATGGGCATCACGACTGTGCCCCTCTCCCGTGCCCTGGCAGTTTGACTCCACCACGAATCTGCGAGAGCGAACTGTCGACATGCAAGATAGGACCCCCATCACGGCGGCGGTTCAGTTGATCGTTGGATGCGTCGGGTGACTGGTTGATGGGTTCCGGCTCAGTGCATACCATAGCATCAGAGAGTGAACCCAAAAGCAACCCACATGTTGATACTCATCTGCTGCTGGTCTGTCCTCTTCCTTCCTGTACTGGGCCAGGACACGACGCACCTCAGTCAGAGGATGCTCAACGTTGCTAAGGGATCAGCCGATTGCAACCATGCGCGTCTATCGTCGATGTAACACTGCAGGATCTCACGGTAGATCCGGCAGCATCGACTGTTATGGCGCGTCTTGCGATACCGCCCCCCAACATTTCGGGCTCGCGTACTCTACACCGTAGTCGCGGGGGTGATAAGTGACGAAACTCAGGATTTAGTCGGTCCAAATGACAAAACGACCAGGGTTCCTGTCGAGTCATGCTTCACGCCATCCATGTTGGCGAGGGATGAGGACCGCTAGCAGATAGACATTGCTTTTTTTTTTTCTTGACACGACGCGAGTGGGTGGGTGTTCGGCGTAGTGATCGGAGGTCAGTGGCTGGCCAGGTTGCTGGGGTACCGGGGACCGATACCAGCAACCCCGCGTGCCGGGCCCTGGCAGCACCGCGAGGCCCAAGCTCTGGGGCCTGTGGTCCGAACGGGTTGAAAATGTGACCGATGAG